GTCTGATACGGAAAACAGGCAGCAGGAGACCTGATGTTAGCGAAACCATACGCGACGAGAGTGGGCAGCCGATCCACAGCTTGTCAAAACGTTTGGAGCGTTGGGCTGAACACTTTGCAAGGCAATTTAACAAACCTGAGTTATCACTTTCTTCTTCGGGCATTGAGCGCCCTTCTCATTGGGCCGTCTCCTCGGATCCGCCCTCACGCGCAAAGGTCGAACGTGAGATCCGGCTGTTGAAATTGCATAAGGCCGCAGGAGCAGATAGAATCCCCCCAGCCCTCTTCAAATTCGGGAGACCTGCTCTAGCAGATGATCTACACGGGTTGCTAGTAAAACTTTGAGAGCTGGAGACAGTCCCGACAGACTGGAACCGCTCCGTCATTGTCCCAATTTTCAAGGGAATCTCCCGTTTGGAATGCGGCAATCATAGAGGGATCAGTTTGATTTCGATTGCCTCTAAATTGCTTGCCTCTGTCATTCTCTACAGACTGACTGACACTCGTGAAAGCCAGATTCGTGAAGAACAAGCCGGATTTCGTCGAGGTCGGGGCTGCATCGACCACATCTTCACATTGCGTCAAGTGTTGGAGCACCGCCATGTTTATTGGCGACTCACCGTTGTCGTGTTTCTTGACATAAAAGGTGCCTTCGACTCGGTCGATCGATGTGTCCTTTGGGACTGTCTACTGAGGAAAGGTGTGCCTGATAAATATGTAAACATTATCAAAGTGCTGTACGCGCATAGTTCGGGCAGGGTGAGGGTTTATGGTAAACTGTCGCCACCCTTCAGTATCACCAGCGGTGTGAGACAAAGATGCCCGCTGTCACCTTTCCTCTTCAACTTCGCTATTGATGAAGTCATGGAAACAGCGTTCGCTGGACACGACCTAGATGGTGTGGAGCTACTTCCTGGTGAGCGACTTCTTGACTTGGAGTATGCGGACGATATTGCCCTAATCTGTGACAGCCCCCAAACATGCCAAAGAGCATTGGACCGATTAGCACTGGCTGTCAATCGTTTTGGGCTATGCTTTGCTCCATAGAAATGCAAAGTACTTCTCCAAGATTGGCAGGGACCCAACCCTGCGCTAACGCTTGGTGGTGATCTGCTAGAAGTCGTTCAGGAATTCAAGTACGTGGGCAGCTATATTAGCACCCGTGGGATTGAAGATGAGGTTACGAAGCGTATAGCAAAAGCTCGAGGTGCTTTTGCCAATCTCCGCCAACTGTGGCGCAGATGCGACATCACTTTCGCCCTGAAGGGCAGAGTTTATAACGCAGCCGTCCGTTCAACTCTCCTATATGGTTGTGAAACCTGGCCCATCAGGTCGACTGACATGAAGAGGCTCGTCACACTCGATCATCGCTGCCTTCGCAGCTTAGCTCATGTCTGGTGGGAACACCGCGTGAGCAATGAGCGTGTTCGACGTCGCGTATTTGGTGGAGGAAGAGCGAGTGAACCGCTCAGCACCATTATATCACGCACCAGGCTCCGATGGCTGGGCCACGTGTTGCGCATGCCAGCACACCGACTCCCGCGACGTGCATTGTTTGCGCGTTGTGGGTGCGGTTGAAAGAGGAGGAGGGGAGGCCCAGTGATGACTTGGTCGAGAGAAATGGGAACCCTCACTTCGAAGTTGGCGTCGGTTGGTGCATCCCGACTGCCTGGCTGGGGTCCTAAGGACGGTGAACACGTTTGGTTGGACACACTTGCTGATATGGCTTGGAGCCGGCACCAATGGCGTTTGTGTTGTGATTTCCTTTGCCCATCCCCCTCCTGTTTAGTATCCCCCTCCAATCACGATCTCACCTGTTAGGCATAATGCGATTCTCTTTTACGGCAGCCAGCTGTTAGCTCTCCGGAACGATGTCCATCCGTTACTGGGGACTTAGCGGGCGTGCCACTGTTTTCCTTTTCTTTTATTTTGTATTGCGGCACAGTAGCTGAGGTGTTTTCCACCTCCAGCTAACGTGTAATGATGATGATGATGATGGCCACCGCTCATTGAACACATGGCACACTTGTTGAAGGTGCGTGGCTAGGCACACACTTGACTGTGACTCACGTCCGCACACTTCTGTCCTATTTTTTCCGGCTACAGTGATTTGTGGTGTGTGCCTGGTGGAGCTCAGGTCACCATTGACCGTCCTTTTCCGCCACATTCTTGTGAATGTTTACCGCCATTGTCAGGCAAACCTCGCTTTTTTTGTCTCTTATCTGATTTCCGGTCTACTCACATTCTGTCGACCCAATGTATGGTCAAGTACTGCATGTGCTACATTTTTTCAAGCGTTTCTCACGCCTTCAATATGGAACGTGTTGTTGTAGGACATGGGGAGCATTGCAATTTGCAATCACCATTTCACATACACTAGCAGTCGATTTGAATACACACAAATGGCTGTTATCTTTAGTTATTAAGTTATTGCACAGTTGCTGTTTGCACACCGATCTGTAGTTTGAATACTTTGCCCATTGCAACGGGACTGGACCTTAGCGTGGTGCGATGGTTTGCGCACCCCGTGACCCATTGAACTATGCTGCGTTGTAGTGGGAAAGCCAAACTAAAAAGGCTTTACTACATTAAAAGAACTCTCAGTCTATAAAGTAAGAATGCTGGACCTGACCTTATTTGAAGCACGATCCTCGGTAGGCCGTCAGTTCGTCGCACAATCCAATCAGAAGACGAAACTTAGTCGGCACAATAATTCGTCGCGGTAGATCCGATGATCGATGAACGAGTCTGGCAGACCGATGACGGCCAACAGCACAATACCGGTAGCCGAAACCAGAAGGCGAGTCGAAACCCGAAAAGTCTTTTATCGCTTCTTGCTCGGTTAAAACATAACTGTACAATACTAATGGAAATGGGAATAGCAAGGTACAATTGAGAAGAGAGATATGTACAATCGCTACAGGGTGGTATTTTCCATGTGCCTTCAGTGCCACTCATACCAGGCAGGGCAATGGTTAGGGGTTTGACTTAGTTTCACAATCCAGTCCTCTTCGGACCTCAGGGAGAGGTTGATGGCCCTCTTCCTTTAAAACAGCCTTGAGCGACGACAGATCTACTGGTTATAAGCTCACAGCTCGATTGGCGTAGAGCACGAGCGCCACGCATTATCTCTGACAGTGGCAGGGTACTTTCCTGTGCTTAGTGGTTTGCTACCGCCTGCCTCAAGCCAGGCAGCCCCTGGTCAAATTGGCGCAAACCCGCCAACTCTATCCTGTGACTGGCCGTGATCGCAGATGCGTAACATAATACGGTCACAAAGCACGTGTGCTGCGTGTGACAAGTCACAAACAGATCCCAATTGGTCTGTGCCATCACACTCCTGAATTGGACTTGCTACCCACTGTCTTGTGGGTCAGGCTGTTGAGCTAAGGACTCCGGATGGAGTCCCTCAAGCGAATCTCCGTAACACTACTGCCTTGTGGGTCAAACTGTTGAGTCAAAGGCTGGACACAGGGTACCTCGAACAAGACTCCTGTCTTGGAATGCGCATCCGGAGAGCATTATTCACCCTCTCGACTATGTCGACATTACTCCCTCTTCTTTCCTATCCTCTCCCTTTTTTACTCCGTCTATTGAACAAGACTGCCGAGGACATCGCATCTGCTACCATCAAAAAACGTAACTCGTCCATCAATTCACGAATTTCATTTCACCTTGGTTATTTTAACGTCCGCACTAGGTTAGATCGGCCAGCAGGCAGCACTAACTCTCACTCTTCACCTTCTCGTACTTGGTGTGTGCTGTGTTTCCGAAACACGCATGTAAGGTAACAGGGTCGTGATAAATCGTGGACTCATTGTTTCTGAATCTGACGACGATGGCTACACTCTTCGCGTCTCTGGCGGTACTGAGTCAATGGCTCAAGGTGTTTACGGTGTTGGTGTTGCCCTCAGCAATCATGCTTCACTGGGTACCGGTGAACAGCCGTATATATGCGGAGGTGGTGCCCGGAGGCCCCTTGAGATATACTCCTACCAGGTTGGTCAATGGTGAGAGGTCAGACAAACTCAGTCTCCCGGTCCTCCAGGTTGGGGGTTTGAAATGGGATGGCGTCCATTTCTGTAAAACTAAATCACTGCCACCTCGCTGCCTTGCGGACAGGCTTTTGAGCCAAAGGCTTTGCTTGAGGACACTAATTGTCTTCCTGTCTAGGTCTGAGCGCCCCGACAATATCTCAACCCACATACAACCATGACCTTTTCTTCAAACATAAACTTTATCCTGCATCGGCCATCGCGCAGATTATCAAGGGTCGCCTTATCTGCTGCATACAGCATTTCGGATAAGCGAAAACATGCTACTGCTGGCGCCTCCCTTCTTTCTTTTCCACCTGTTTCTCTTACTCCCATCCCGGCCCCCATTACTAACCTTCCTTCTATAATTCCCAGCTTAATTGACAGCAACCGAAGTGCTACTGGAGTAGTACCATCTGCAGCCACCATCCCACAGCACCTATCGGACGCCTATCGGAAAAGTCCCTTATAAGGCCACGCTGTCACGTTTCCATGGTGACGTTCAACGTTCGCACTCTAAGACAAACAGGCCAACAGGCTGCATCTTGGACACACTGGGTGTTGATGTGTGTTGTGTGTCCGAAACTAGGATTAATGACCCTAACGGGGTTATTGAATTAACTGCACCTGGTTTATCTTCTTGTTATTGGTTGCACGCATCTGGAGACGCCGATGCGGCACTCACGGGTCAAGCTGTTGTAGGTATCATCTTAAGCTCCAAGGCTGAGTCATCGTTGGTTGATTGGACTCCGGTGAAGAGCCGTATATGTGCAGCCCGTCTGATGACATCAGCTAACATTTCTACACGAAGTGGTGCAAAACGCTGTTTGTTTGTGATTTCCGCTTATGCTCCCACCGCCTGCAGTTCTAATGCTGTCAAGGATACATGCTCATCATCATCATAATTATACACATCAGCTAGAGGTGGGAAAAACACCTCCGCTATTGTGCCGCAATACATGAAGGAAATACATACATACATGCATACAATACAATACACAAAGGAGAAGTAGATACAACAGTTGCATGCCAGCTGAGCTACCAGCAACGGATAGGCATCGTTCCGGTAAGCTTCCAGCCAGCTACTAGGAAAAAAGAAACAAAACATTATGTTTTACCCTAGGAAATGAGATCGTAGATGGATGGGGAGGCTAAAAGGGATGGGGAGGGACAAAGAAACTCACAGCATGAACGCCACTGAGGTCGGCTCCTTGCCATGTCAGCAAGTGTATCCAGCCAAACGTGTTCACCGTCTTTTGGACCCCAACCAGGGAGCCGTGAAGCTCCAACCGAGGCTAGCTCCGAGGTGAGGGACTTCATTCCCCTGGACCAAGTCATCGCTTGGCCACCTCTCCTCTTCTTCCACCCACATCCCCGGTGAGCAAACAACGCACGTCGAGGGAGTCGGTGGGCTGGCATGCGTAACACGTGGCCGAGCCATCGGAGCCTGGTGAGGGAAATAACGGTGCTGAGCGGTTCAGATCCTTTTCCTGGGCCGTAAACAATGCGTCGAACACGCTCGTTACTCACGCGGTGTTCCCACCATATGTGAGCCAAACTGCGAAGGCACCGATGGTCGAGCGTAACTAGCCTCTTCAAGTCCGCCGACCTTAGGGGCCAGGTTTCGCAACCGTACAGTAAGGTCGAACGTACCGCTGCATTGTACACTCTACCCTTCAGGGCGAGAGTGATGTCGCGCCGCCGCCAAAGGTGGCGAAGGTTAGCAAAAGCACTTCGAGCTTTCGCTATACGGTTCGTGATCTCGTCTTCGATCCCAAGGGCGCTGATACAACTTCCCAGGTAATTGAATTTCTGAACGACTTCTAGCTGATCCCCACCAAGGGTCAGCGCAGGAGGCGATCCCTGCCAATCTTGGAGGAGCGCTTTGCACTTCGATGGTGCAAAGCAAAGCCCGAAGCGGCTGAAAGCCAGTGCTAATCTGTCTAGCGCGGCTTGGCACGTCTGGGAGCTGTCACAGATGAGGGCAATGTCGTCAGCATACTCCAAGTCAAGAAGTCGTTCTCCTGGGAGTAGCTCCACACCTTCCAAGTCATGTCCTGTAAATGCAAACTCCATGACTTCGTCAATAGCGAAGTTGAAGAGGAAAGGTGACAGCGGACATCCTTGTCTCACACCGCTGGAGATATTAAAGGGTGACGACAGCTTGCCGTAAGCCCTCACTCTGCCCGTGCTACGCGCATATAATGCTTGGATAATATTTACATATTTCTCGGGCACACCTTTCCTGAGTAGACAATTCCAAAGGGCACATCGATCAACCGAATCGAAGGCACCTTTGATGTCGAGGAACACGACTACGGTGGGCCGCCAATATGTGTGACGGTGCTCCAACAACTGACGCAAAGTGAAGATGTGGTCAATGCAGCCACGACCACGACGAAACCCAGCTTGCTCTTCACGAATCTGGCTTTCACGAGCGCCAGTCAGTCTGTGAAGAATTATGGAGGCGAGTAATTTGGAGGCGATGGAGATCAGACTGATTCCTCTATGGTTGCCGCATTCCGAGCGCGAGCCGCCTTTGAAGATGGGAACAATAACGGAGCGGCTCCAGTCGGTTGGGACAGTCTCCTGCTCCCACAGTTTCACTAGTAATTCATGCAAAGCATCCACAAGAGCAGGGCCTCCGAATTTGAAGAGGGCTGGAGGAAGATCATCTGGTCCCGCGGCTTTGTTCAACTTCAACAGTCGGATCTCACGTTCGACTTCTGAGCGAGAGGGTGGATCCAAAGGGACAGCCCACGGAGCAGGGCGATCAGTGACCGGCGAACCGGACAATTCTAGCCGATTAAATTGCTTTTCCAAATGCTCAGCCCAACGCTCCAAACGTTTTGACAAATTGTGGATAGGCTGTCCACTCTCATCACAAATTGTTTCACTAACACCAGGTCTCCTGCTGTCCGTTTCCCGTATCAGACGGAATAACTTACGATGGTTGCCAAGGGCAGCGGCCACTTCCATCTCTGACGCACGATGAGACCACCAAGATTCGCGGTCTCTCTTCAGGCTAGCACGGAGTTTTGCCCGGAGCTCTTTGCGAGTTTCATTGTGTTCGCTTCCAGCCGGGATATGCCGGCGAGCGTCGATAAGTTCCAGAGACCGAGAAGAGACCCAATGTCCATGTGGGCTTTTAGACATACCACATGAGGATTTGCCTGCTGCTAGTAAGGTCTGGCGAACATGTGACCAGTGACCATCAATTGTCTCCAGTGAGCGAGTACTCAACTCGCATGTCAGCGTACTTTGATACGCATTCAGAACAGCTGGCTTTGTCAGTTGGCTGGTGTCAATGCGCTCACAGCGTCGTCGTGGGCGTCCTCCAAAGCGCATCCGCATGTCAGCACATACAAGTGCATGATCAGTGTCCACACATGTGCTCCAAATCGAGCGACAATTCTGGATGCGGCCTCTCCAGCGGTAACTAATAGCAATGTGATCGATCTGCGTGCAAGGCTGGTTCGAGGCTGGTGGGCGCCAAGTCACCCTCCGGCGGGTGCTGTGTCGGAAATTAGTGCTCGCAAGAAATAAACGAGCATCTTCACACAAATGAAGTAACCGCTCACCGTTATCATTACGGGAGCCTACACCGTGCTGACCGCCCAGATGCATTTCATCAGTGGACAACTTTCCAACTTGTGCGTTCATATCCCCCGCCAGAACAACGGTGTCCGTGCTTCTTCTGTGGCGAAGGAGCTGAGTCAGTTGACGGTAGAAGTCGTTCTTTACCGAATCATCGCTACAGTTTGTGGGCGCGTAGGCAGCGATGATGAATAGACATCTATTAGTCCCGCGCGACTTCGAAGCTTTAGAGGAGCCAGCCAATCGGACCGCACACATCCGGCTACTGATTGGAATCCAATCAACCAGAGCAGCTTCAGCCCGGGGACTCAGAGCAATGCCAACACCAGCTTGGCCGGTGCTCGAAGCTGCATCGTCACCGGATAGGCGCAATGAGAAAATACTGTTTGCGTCACCTGAAGGGGATCGCAGAGTGAGCACAGAGTTCGAGTCTTGCAGGCGGGTCTCTGATAAGCAGCAGATATCGATCGAGAGAGTCTCCAATGTTCGGGCAAGTGCTGCCTGTTGACCGATCTGTAGTAGTGTGCGTACATTAAGGCATGCCAATCTGAAGGAAAATCGAGGGCTCCAAATGGAAGCCGATGAACTGGAATGGACCGCTTGGTTGGACATGGGCTTGTCGACAGGAGAGGAGTGACGCTTCGCGTTCACATGTGAGTTGAAACTAGAAGATAAATGCCTAGCAAAGCATGTTGGGGGAGGGCCAAGAATCGGGGGGTTGAAAACTGGGGGGATATAAGTGAAGTTGGAAGGGGGCGGTAAGAGTGAAAAAGCGTAAGATGGGGAATAAGAAGACGTGAAGGCTTGAGCAGTAGCATCCAAACCCCTATCCACCCTGCTCGATGCAGCAGATAGGGCACCGTTGATTATCCTCTGCGGTGGCCAGAGCATCAGCAATTTGTTTGAAGTGTGATTCATTGTATTGCGTGGGCAGGATACTGTCAGGTTGCCCAGGCCTAGACAGGAGAACGATTAAGGTTCTCAACCAAAGCCTTTGGTTCAAAAACCTGACCGCAAGGCAGCGGGTTTGGCGTTGGACTACAAGGAGTCCGTTTTAAGGAATAAGGTGCCACCCTCATTCCAACCCCCAACCTGGAGGACCAGGAGGCTGAGTTTGTCTGACCTCTAACCATTGACCAATCTGGTATGAGTGACTCTGAAGGTGCAAAAGCACCACCCAGCATAGCTCAATGGATCGCTGAGGCACACAAACCATCGCACCACGGTAAGGTCCAGCCTCATTGCGATGGAAGGAAGGAATTGCGATGGAAGGATACATGCTACCACGAACTGAACACGCAACTACGCAGTGCTACTAGTTCAGATATTATAGTACTTGCAGGGGATATGAACGCACAAGTAGGGCGTCTGTGCTATTCAGAAGCTCAACTGGGTGGTAATTATGGGCTGAACTCCGAACGGACTGACAACGGTGAGCGTCTACTGCAACTGTGTGCAGAGCACCAGTTGTTTCTTAGTAGCACTACTTTTCGACTCAATGGGCGCCGAAGTATCACTTAGCGTCCTCTTTTGGCTGGCCAGCGATGGACCCAAATTGACCACATAGCCATAAGGTATAGATGACGTAGTGCATTCATGGATTGCCGCTCGTACTGGAGTACCTGTGTCGACTCTGATTCTGCCCTGGTACTCTTTCATTTCTCCGTGAACTTTACCGGGAGGCGCACAAATCGTCTCCTCCGATTGGCCACTGAGAAATTGTCTCAGTCCTCGGTTAGGCAAGCCTATCAAGACGCACTGCGTACCGAAGTTTCGCTGTCTTGTTCTAATGACACTGAGCTTCATTGGAATTGGATCTCGGCCGCCATGCACGACGCAGGAGCATCTGCTTGTGGCACTATCCATCGTCACCGCACCAGTCACCGAATATCCGAGAGGTCGGTGAACCTATTGGAATCTAGAGGACACCTCCCGGCTGGTTCTGAACACAATGTGACCAGACGGGCTATTAGGCGTGAACTAAAGCGGAGCCTACATGCTTACAAAGAAGCCTGGTGGACCAGTAGGGCTCAAGAACTGAAGGGGGCAAGAGCAGTAGGCAATTACCACAAGGTCTTCCAGCTAATCCGAACCACTGGTCCCAGGAAACCAGGCGTCAGTGAGACAATCCGAGACAGCGCGGGTGCGCTGATACACAATAAGGAGCGTCGTATGGCTCGTTGGGCGGAACACTTTCAAGCTCAGTTCAGCTGGCCCCCTGCTCCCGGACCTCTTCCTACTCAGGTGATGCAGGACGAGTTATGGATGCTTAGTTTAGAGCCTCCGTCCTAGGCTGAGGTCTGAAAAACGATCACAGCCCTCAATCGTTTTCGTGCCGCTGGCCCGGATTCCCTCCCACCTGCACTATTTAAGGATGGAGGTGAGGTCCTCGGCAGAACACTGACATCCGTATTCGAACTTATCTGGAACGAAGAGAGTGTGCCGGCTAATTGGAGCGAATCGATTAAGTGGCAATATACAAGAAGGGCAGTCGCACAGACTGTGCGAACCACAGGGGTACTAGCCTAACGCCAGTTGTGACAAAATTACTGGCCTCAATTATGGTCCGTCGCCTCAATGTGGAACGGGGATCTCGAATTGGGGAAGAGCAAGCAGGTTTGCGTCCAGGACGCGGCCTTATAGATCATATATTCACTTTGCTGCTGGTACTAGAGCAGCGCCATGCATACCGCAGACCGACAATAGCTGTGTTCCTCGATTTCAAGAGTGCGTTCGATCCAGTCGATCGATCGATTCTGCTCTAAATGCTTGCGCGGAAAAGTGTTCCCACGAAATATGTGAACATCCTTCGTGCTCTATACTCGAACACTACAGTCCGCGTCAGGGTCCACGGTGGTTTATCGAATAGCTTTCCGACAACAGGTGATGTTCTTCAGCGTTGTCCGATTTCCCCGTTTTTTTTTCAATTTCGTTGTGGATTCTATCATGGAGTGTTCTCTTGCAGAATCTCACGATCTATACTTTGTAGTTCTGACTGGTGAAAGATTAGCTTATCTTCTTTATGCGGACGATATTTTCTTGCTATTTGATGATGTTGCGGTGGCACAGTCAACCCTGAATAGCCTGTCTAGAGTTGTCCCATTATTTGGTATGCACTTCGCACCTTCAAAGTGTAGTGTCGCTGCAGTGCCATCAGCCACTTTATGACCCGTTTACCCTTGCTAACGAGCTCGAGATTGTTGATCGATTCACTTATCTTGGCAGCTGCGTCAGCAACGACGGCGCATAGGAACGGACGTCAGCTTACGCATTGCAAAAGCCAGAGCTGCCTTCTTGAATCCGCGTCATCTTTGGCGACGGAAGTGAATTTCCCTCCGTCTGAAGGGCCATGTATACAAGGCCACAGTGAGGGCCATTCTGCTCTATGGTAGTGAGACTTGGCGACTTCGGTTTGAAGATCTGAGGCGCCTTCAAGTCTTTGATCATCGTTGTCTACGAAGCATTGCTGATGTCGGATGGCACCAGCGTGTCCGCAATGAGGATGTGCATAGGTGAGTACTAGGTAGTGATAATCATGCTAACTACGCAGAACGACAGCACTGAATAAGTTGCATTGGCTTGGGCACTTGCTGCGTATGCCTGGTCAGCGCTTACCTAGGCGGGCTTTGTTTAATCTCTCAGGTGTAGGGTGGAGCAAGGCTCGAGGTGGACAGAATTTGATTTGGCAGCGGGAAACGAAGTTATTGACGACCAAACTGGGTGCCGTTGGTCCGTCTAGCCTTTCGGGCTGTAGTCCACGTGACTCGCCTTATGCCTGGCTCGAGGCTTTACAGGACGTTTCGCAATCGATACCAGTGGTGTTTCTGTTTTCGTCTCTCAGTCGGATTGCCTGTTTAAAGTGTGTTTGGTGCTGACTTATCTGCGGGGTAATGGCTAATTATGACGCGTGGCAGTGAAAGCCTCAAGGAAGCTGTCTCGCCGATGCCTCACGATAGCCAGCTGTTTGTGACGGTATGTTGTCTACACAGGATGTAGGCGCCTTTACCCTGAATGTTTGCTTAGGGCATTAAGGTTTTCAGGTAAGTCCCCCTTCTTTCCCCTTATTATTCTTCATTTCATAGGTTATCGTGGTTGTATGGCAGCGAAGCATCAGTTCAAATGGCTGATGTGCTGCTGTTGATGATGATGATGATGACGACGATGATGATGATGTTGATGGAAGACGCCTCAGCTACTGTGCCACAATACTAACTAAAAGAAAAAACATGCAACAGTGGCACGCCGGCTGAGTCACCGTTAACGGATAGACATCGTTCCCGAGAGTTAACAGCCGGCTTTTGTGCCGCAGTAATGAGTGTTATGCCTAATAAGTGAGATCGTGGTTGGGTGCGAAGGCTAAACGGGAGTAGTTAATAAGTAGCGTCTGAAGACAAGATGTCTTTTCATCGCCTCCGTTTATGTCCCTACTGAATGCAGTTCAGAGGGTATCACAGACAACTCCTATCGACAGCTCTCGTCTCTTCTTCGCATGACAGAGCATGCTGATATCTCGATTGTCGCTTGTGACATGAATGCTCAGTTGAGTCGTCTTACAGACTGAACGGCACCTGGGTGGCTGCTCTAGAGTTGATGCACACCGAGCAGACAATGGTGATCGATTCCTACAACTGTGCACCGACCACAACCTTTACATTAGCAACACTGCTTTCCAACACAAACGTGCACACCGCGTCACCTGCTGCCCACCGAATTCCTTAGTGACCTGGACCCAAATTGACCATCTTGTCATCAGCTGCAGAGAGCACACATCAGTCCAAGGCTGTCGGTCAGTTTGGAGCATGTTCCTGAATTCCGACCACGCTCTAGTACCCTCACGCTTGGCGCTCACTCTTCCCGCTTTAAAAATGTGCCTGTCTTCTACCCCTTTTTGCGTTTTACACATAATCTGCTGTTCGGCAATATCATGGCAAACTGTGCCAACAAGTGTCAGTGGTGAATGAGGCTGATGAATCGAACACTGACTGGGATCGTTTCAAATGTACCATGAAGAACGCCTTTGATGCATGCTGTACAATCAACTTGAGACGGCGTACTTACGGATGCATCTCTGGAGCATCGATCAGCTTGATCAAAGAACGGAAACAGATTCCAATAGACACTGAGGTTCGGCGTGTCCGTAACTAACGGAAACGACGTCTGAGGTCTTTGAATCGACCGGGAAAGTTGGTGGATGTCAAGGGCGCATTACGTGGAGAAAGTGCTATTCCAGCTCATCCGGAATACGGATCCGAGAAACTCATCAGTTGACGAGACAATAGCTGAGAAAGACGGACAGTTGAGCCATTCTCGGCGTCGTTGACTAGCCTATTGAGTGGAACATTTTGAAAAACAGTTCAGCAGGCCTGCTGCGACTGCCGTCTGCCTAATCGTCTGAGTCTACGATGAAAATAGATGTCACACCTTTTTGGCAGAGATTCTGCATGACCTTTTCTTGTTGAAACGAAATAAATATCTTGGACCCGACGACCTTCATCTTTGCTTACTGATTGTGGTGACTCTTTGTTGATTCGACTCTTCTCTGTTTAACACGATTTGGAGCACTGAAGATTTACCTACAGACTGGCGACTGTTGACCGTCGTGTTCATCTTCAAGAAGGGTTAACGTACTTTGTGCGAAAATCATCGTGGTATTGGCCATCTTTTCCGTTGCTTCTAAACTTCTTACGCTTATCATTCTTTGACGACTTACTGGTATTTGTGAGAACCGAATCACTGTAAGCCAAGCTGGCCTTCGCCCTGGTCGTAAGTCTATTGACCACATGTTTACTTTTCCTCAAGTGTTAGAACAGAGACACACATACAGACGACCCACTGTGGTGATTTCCCCGAACTTGACAGCCGCCTTCGACTCTGTTGACTGCACCAGCTTATGGCACTGCTTATCCATGAAGGGAGTGCCGGTTAGATTCCTTTCCATTTTACAGTCTCTCTACAGTAACTCCAAAGACTGTGTAATGGTCTACGAGAAACTGTCTCCTGAGTTCCCCACAACGAATTGGATTCGTCAGGGTTATCCCATATCTCCTTTCCTCTTCACCTTTGTTATAAAAAGTGAATATGAGTGACCGTTCTTCCTGACTCTATCGGAGTGGAAGTTCTGCCAAGTGACTGACTGACAAATCTGGAGTATGCGGACTGCATAGCCCTTCTTGAGTCTGACGTAGTGGCTATGCGATCACCACTGTACAAACTGACGCGTAGCGTTGCACACTTCGGCATGTGTATTACA